CAAACGGAAATATGTGTAATATGGCGTGAGCCCTGTTATGCACATATTCTTACGGGTATCAGGGCTCATGTCTTAATGCACATAGTTCCGTTCGATAGAAATACGTCCGGTTGTGAGAAACGCCGTATGAAAATTTTCATTCTAAAACATTAACATTCATCGAGTTTTGTATCCCGAGGAAATTTGAGAATATTATCCTTCGATCACCAGATAATTTCATTCGTTATTTGCTCGAAAATTTAAGGAACGATGTTGAACAATAAGTTTTCTTGAATATTTAATTCGCGATGATTTCACGATACCGGACTGCTTTTGAGGCGATCATTATTACCGAGACTAAAACAGTAGGGAAAATTTGGATTTATAGGCCCAGAGATAGAAGAATTGGACTTTATTTTGCAATTTGGAACTACAATATCTTGCTCGACTCAGAAACAAAGTATATTCAGTTACCTTCCCTGTATACATAAGTGCTCTTACGCATGAGTCAGAATTTGTAGTTCCTAATTTTACAAAATGAAGTCTATTAGACAATAATAGCGGTAATAGCAATAATGATGTATGCAAATGATTATTTATTCGATGAGATTTTTTAGTTAATTTGGAAGTAAAGGAGATGGAAGAGTGGTAGATACTACCCGCGACCACATTATACGGCCTCGAAGTTCGTCAGATTGCTCAAGACGAAAGCAAGATTTTGCATGCCACAATCTTTCACGATTTCGGACCACAACTGTCGTTCTAAAGAAAAACGCCGTATGAATCTTTAGACGTTGCCGAATTTCCTTTGATAAAATAAAAATTTACTGAGAAAAATGTGTTTCTACCAATTTCTCAAATAATTTTGTTCGAAATACAATCTAAAATATCTAAAAATTTCAAGGAAAAACATGCAACACTTTCTTTAAAAATAAATGTTTTTTAGGGTAAATTTGGCAACATTCGAATGTTCATGCGGCGTTTCTCTCTAACACGGCAAAATATTTCACGACCAATTGTCACTTAAAATAATATCTGAAAAGGAAATACTTTTCTGAAATATACCCTACACACGCAGACCTACCTTGGCATTACCTGTGACTGCATATTGAAATCAGTGCGTAACAAAGCTTGCACAGGAAATGAACATAAGAGTATTATTTGTGTTTGCTAAACTAACAGAATAAGAAACCAAGTATCCTTGGTGAATTAAATGGCCCGCGGCGCGGCTCGATGGCGCAATGGACCGCAAAACTGTTACGGGCGTCATGATACAACTATACGTGTTCGAGGGATGGCCGTGTTGCATATCGAAAAATTGAAGGCACTTTATCTTTGCTTGCCCTAACAGTGATATGCGGGCAGCGCTGTTATGATTCGTGAGTGAGATGTTGCTCATCGGAACCGCTCAACACCGCCGTGTTAAGGAAAAACGCCGTATGGATACTCCAATGGGTTTCAGGACATTCCGTCAACGATTTTTTATCCGTGCACCTGTTTTGTCCAGCAGTTTACGTCTACGCGTAAGATAATCAATAAAGACTTGGTCCACGCGTTATATTTTAGTCCGTATGTAAAATTGTATTGAAAATATCGAAATGAGAGAATTGAGAGAGGAGGAGGTGTTGTTATGGTAACTCAGTTTTTAAATGAAATGTTACTTTCTTCTTTTGATATATCTAACCTCGAGTTCCATGAAAACACACAGAGTACGTGTAAATGGCCTTAGATGCTAAAGCACCGCTTCTAAATAAACTTATCTTACTACTACTACAAAATGTTCATTGGTGAAATAACATCCATCTTTTCAGCTCAAATGATCCAATAGTAGTCACCGAAATTTTAAAGCTCTTCAAGCAATTAAATTTAAAATAAAAGGTTTCCTGGTCCCCGACGTAAATAGCCTGGTTGCTGATCGTCGTAAATTAAAATACCTAACTAACTAATTATTTGGTTTTATTTCTATCCGTAAAATTTTCGACAAAAAATATACCTTTTTTATCCTTTTTCTCTTTCTTCTTCTTCTTCTTTTTGATGAACATATTACTTCATTTTAAAAACTTTTAAATTTTTAAAATCTAGCAAATATTTGTAAAACCTTTTTCAAGCGATGTCATCGATATTAATCTCAATTAGTCGTAGTTGTGTCGAAAGGAACTATATAAAAATGAATAAAACAGGGAAAAACCAAGAAGCACGCAATCATTGGTTTTAATCCATTTCTACACCGATCTTTAGAGTCAAATAAGTCCAATTTTGAGAGTTTGGTTGCGCATACACCACGCTGTAGCACAATAAAATCACAAAATATAAAAGAAAAATTAACGTTCTTAGGAGATCATATAGTTTAATACGAAACTACCTCAATATTTATGAAACACACATCATATTTTCCTGTTATACATATCTTTTCCCATTAATTTAAATGAAAATAATCCATGCAGAGTGTGCAAACATTTCAAAATCATGAATTGAGAAACGTTGACTCCGCGAATTTAAATATTCGAGCCATACGTAGAGCGCAGCGGCACGTGCACTGGCTCCTACAAACCTAACATGGATACTTCACGCATTGCGCAATACGTGAAGTATCCACTTAGGTTTGTAGGCGCCAATGCGCGTGTCACGCTGATCGCCCTCGCCCGCAATGGCGCGGCGCTGCGCTTCAAGCAACTATACTGTACAACAGAGGTGTTGCACAGTATCGCGTGGACTTAAACTACCAGAAAAGACAGGTGCGCAGATGAAAAATCGTTGATGAAATGTCTTACAACCCTCCAATGTTGCCAAATTTCTCCTGAAAAAAGTGTGTTTTAACAGCAAGTTATGCATATTTTTCCTTTAAGTTTTCATATAATTTAGATTGAATTGTGAACGAAATTTTCGGTAAAATTCGATACAAAATATTTGTTACTTTTCGAATAACTTAATATTTTCTCAAAGAACATTTTGCCTGAAGGTTCATAAAGCGCTTTTCCTTATCACGACAGAAAAGACGCAAGAACGGAAAATAGGGAGGAGAGCTATGCTTCTTCTTATTTTCGACTGTGCTACTGCATTAAACTGAGATCACGAATGCATCGATAAGTGACATGCATGTTAATAGTAAGTTTTTTTTTTTTTTTTTTTTTTTTTACAAAAATATGTACCGTTTTGAAACAAATTATCAACTGCTTAAACTTATACGTGTACATACCTCGGGGTTTTCTCCTTTTCTAGTGACAAATCCTAACTAGGAGCTCGCGTCTATGTCCGCACGTTGGCCCCCTTCTCGATTCGCCGAATTTGTATTCAGAAGACTGGAGGTCATTTTATGGGGTTATGGGGGCTAATGCCCCTTTCCTGGTGGTGCTCCAGCGTAATGTAAACTGTTGTCACGCATTAATTCCAAAATTTCAATGCCCCACCCGGCAGAGACGAGATGGACCCGCTGATAGGAACAGGTGAACTTTGCCACGTTGCCAAATCGCAGCGCACGCCCGCGGATTTTCGGCGACTTTCTCGTATGGCACGCGGCGAGCTGGCGCCTGCTCGTTAGTATCAGAGACATCCAGTCGGGCAGGGTGCTCAGTTGAGCTAATAAAAGTGAGCAGTTAATGTCCTCAGCTAATCTTACTCGCTGAACAATGGTTTTTGTGGCACGTTTCCCTATTTATGTACACAAACACTTTATCTTCCTCTCGCGCGACTATTTAGGGAAACGCTCCCCCGCCGCCCCTCCGCCCCGGGCCCCCTGGAAGCGGGATATGCCCCTCATCAGCGGAAATTAATTCGCCTCTTCGAGCTTCATTAACGGGATGCGAAGCGAGGATACTTCTGACCGAATCACTGTGTTTCCGGCCTCCATCGGATAGATTTACATGTCGACCGGCGGCGAGGCCCACTGCTTCGGGCAGCCCGGTTGATCATTGAATTTCGGCTCCTATACTGCCGCGCTAAGGGAGAACGCCGCATGAGCCTTCAGGCGTTGCCAAATTTCCTTCGATAAAAACCGGATTTCCTTGGAAAATTGTGAATATTTTTGTTCAAAATTTTCAGACTATTTTGCACGCGATTGAATCTAAAATATTTGAAGTTTTCAAAGAAAAATGCGCGTGAGTGTCGTCAAAAATACATGTTTTAGCAAAGGAAATTTGGCAACTCTTGAAGGTTCATACGGCGTTTTTCCTTAGCACGGCAGTATACTCCGGATTGGCATCGCGTAATTCGTATCTGGCGGCTGTCACTTCCACGCAAAGATAACTACCCCTCGCCCGTCCCTCGATGGAATTACATTACGGAAGGAAAACGTAAGGGCGCAGTCCCAGCTGTTGGAGAATTTGGATTCTGATAATGACTGTTAGGGTTGAATCAAAACAGGTGAGGAACAACCTAAAACTCAAATTTGGTTCCCAAAATCGCGCTGGATTAGCACTTTGCATCAATATTGATGATTCTACCTCTGCACAGTAGGCGGATAAGCATCATACCCAGCCAGGAAAGATGGAGGTATTGGACTGTGTGCAAAAAACGGGGGGAAAAAGTTATTTTATTTCTCATTGACGACGCCGTTTTGAAATTGAGCCGTAAGCTCCCGAAATTTATTTTTTTTCTATATTGAATGAAAGGACGCAACACTCTGTCTTTGAATGAGAAATCTCGACTTATCCAAAGAGGTGCTCGTTTGCATTCCATGAAGTGGGTTCGATGCAGTTAAACTGAAGCGAGTTAGATCTCACGAATGTATATTGATTTTTTTCATTTTCACAATGAATGATGCGACGCAGCAATAGAAGAGTCATGTTTCGGTTCGCATAGAAAGTGATTATTACATTTCTTCAGTTTATTATGTTCGAGCAGAAAGTATTACTTTTTAAGTCCGACTCAATTTGTATAACCATCAGATTTTCAGTCTGTCCGATATTCATTGTCATATAGACGAATGAAAGTTATGTTACTCTAATTTCTGGGAAAATAAGTGCAGAGAAAATGTATTTTTTTCCTTTAAAAAAAAGAAAAAAAGCAACCTGGTGAATGTTGCGGTTTATTATGTTGATGAAACTAGCACAGGTAATAAGATAAAAACAGAATATTTTAAGTCTTCAATTTCAACGAAGAAAACAAGAAAATATCGATTGATTGATCGCCTAAGCATGTTCTTTATTGCTTTGAGGGTCATCGTGATATAAATCAAAATCGATCCATCTGGCATTTTGTATCATTTTGTGGTTTATGCATGAGCCATGTTTTACCTAAGAGATGCTCGCTTCTAATGAACAATTCAATTAAAGTATAACGTATACTTTTTACTTCGTCAAACCGACATAGATTTTATTCTTGTTTTTATGTGCGATACAATTTTTCAAGAACCAAAATTATGGCGTCTGGCGCAAAATAGAGAAAAAAAAAATCAATTCCCTGTTTTTCCGAGCTAGAAAAAGTATACTAAAAAGCACCCATTATCAATAATGATTGTGAATAGCTAGGAGGAATAGAAAAAATAGTCCTCCACATTCGTCATGTTCTACTTTTGGGTCTCTTCACTAAATGAAGAAAATCACACTATTAAAGGTAAATTGTATAAATTATTTCTATAGTCAAATGTGACTCGTTCTGGAAAACACCACTCTTAACTCTTTTAAGGTCGGTGGATCACTGAAACTACATGACACATTGAGATGGTAAATCATGTGGTTAATTTATTGTCATTTGCTAGCAAAAATGTATAAAAATTTGGAGCGCAGCCTACAGGAGAACACATGATGTTAATTTTAACGTTGGAAAATAGCACTTCCGAAGAAGATTGTTCTAAGTTTGGTTCGTGTTTTACATTTTTCTGAACTTGACTGCCAGAAATATTCATTTTTACGCTATGACAAAATTATGATTTTTAGTTGAATCTTGGTTACTTTTACTTGCCACCCGGAAAATTCCTGTGTGAAGTTAATAACAGTTATTCAAGAAAGCGTCACAAATACTTACAATGTACCGAAAAAGAAAAACTTCTTATCGGAGGTAACTTTTTTTCTTTTTGATGCGGGTAAAATGAATGGGCACGAGGAATAATAGAAGGTTTCTCGACGGAAAACTAGTAATCAAATATATAATTAACAGTACGTATGTCGATAACAAAGACTAGTAGCGAAAAGATTCTTTTAAAAAAAAAACGGGAGGAAGTTGTCTACGTCATATGAAAGTCTCCTTTCAGAAGTCGCGTGAACGTCTTCTTAAATTGATTATTCGCTAATGCATAACAAAAAGGGTTCATGGGGCTATTGGCGTAACAGAGAAAATAGGAAAACATAAACAAATGCTCGTTAATGCAGTACGGGTTCGAGCAAAACCCTTTGACTAGAGCTAACACATGGTAAGGAGTCCAACAAACAACGAAAGCACCTAAAATGAAGGATATTGTCCTGAAGGCTTTTCTGGCCCGGTTCTCAGACTTGGATTTCTGGCGCGCCATGTTGCGTTTCCGCTTGGATTTCAACTTCTTGCCCAGCGACCGCACGAAGTCCGCCTTCTTCCCCTTCTCCGCGTCATCGACCGTGGAGACTCTTTGGCTCGTCGTCGACTTCTCGTCCTCGATGGCCGCGGCTTTTACCTCCGGGCTGAGCGGCGCCGTTATTACCGTCGGGCCCGTCACCGAAGTCGATGCCACGGAGTATAAAGTAGCAGGAGTGCCCGCTTTAGTCTTTTCTTCTTCAACCTCCTCAACCTGGACGACAGATGTGACCGGTCGCTCGTCTAGATTCACAGCCACCGCTGTGTCCACCTTAACCGGGGTGGGTTTCGCCTGAACGGCGGCAGAGCGGATAAGCGCCGCCTGGAGGAGCGACGTCGTACTCGTCGCAGCGTGGATCGGCGTCAACGGTTCCGTCGCGGGGAAACTCAGCGAGCTCGGTGGACTCTCCACGCCGGGCGACGCGACGATGATCGAACTCTCGTCCATGTACCGAAGCTCGGAGTTGTCCAGTCCCACGAGGACATCGTAAGTGGCGCTCTCGTGCGAGTTGAGGATGAGGCTCTTGGGTCGCGAGCTGGCCCTCGTCGACGCGGGGGAGTTGTAGCTGTTGGTGTTGGAGACCGGCGGGCTGCTCTGGAACTGAGCGGGCGGCGGGAGAATGATGGATCGGGACTGGTGGGACTTGACGGACATCGGGATCGAGGACACCTCCGAGACGGAGCGATCGCTCGGGGGGTCCGAGGCGATGTTCAGGTTGGATTTGGACAGCTTCGGGGTCAACGTCTTGCTCGACAAGTTCCCGACGGACCCGTTGTCTTCCGGTTGGGGATCGTAGGTCATATCGATCAGATCTTCCTCTTGAGACTCGGCCATGGCACGCAGCTGCTTGGCAGTGATCTGGTTCAAGGATTTCGACTTGTTGAGCGACTCCCGACTGGTCCTCAACGGCGGCGAGCCTTTGCCCTTCTCCTTGGAGTTTATTTTGGAATTATTGTTTTTGTCATCTAAACTAGTGCTACTGGCGCCTTTGGCGCCACTTTGGTTATCGTCCCTGGGCGAGAGGGTGGACTTGAACTGCTGGCTATTGGAGTGCTGCACTTGCATGTTCACCATGAGTCCCATGATGGTTGATTTCTTACGGTCGAGGCTCTGTTTCGATTTTGAGCGGACGACGTTGGTGACGCTATCTTCGTCCGACTCGAAAGTCGGGCTTGAGGATCGCTCCTTCTCGACCTTGTCGCCGTTGCATTGGACGACCACCTTCTTGGACTCGTTCGAGAGGGTCCCGGTCGTGTTGGTGTTCTTCGAGGAGGGGGTTTTGTGACTCGAGTTGGAGTCCCCGGCCGCGCTGAACTGTCCGGGAGTGAGGCTCGTCGGCCGAAGCCTCTGGGCCGCCACCTGCGTCTTGTCGATCCCGATGCCGGCGGCTCGACCCGCCATCCCCGACATGGCGCCCGCGCTGAGGGCCACCATCGACTGCATCTTCCGCTGCTTCGCCTCGCTCTTCTTCTGCATGTCGTAGGCGACCTTGTAGATCCCGCCGTAGAGGACGAAGAGGACGATGAGAGTGGTCCAGAAGTAGCCGATGATGAGGGCCGTGTTGAAGACGGGGTCTTTGAGGAACTGGACGAGGCACTCGCCGGGGAGGAGGTCCCGGTAGCCGACGAAGTGCTCCCAGCCGAAGATGCTGATGAAGAAGAGCAGCGCGGGGACGACCCAAGTGATGGCCACCATCCAGATGACTTTGTTCTTGGTCCGCCAGCTCCGGTAGCGCGCGGCGATCTTGACCGAGCAGAACCGATCGATGGTGATCAAGAGGACCGTGTACTGGGAGACGAGGCAGACAGTGTAGTCGACCGAGAGCCATAGGTCACATAGTAGCGGGCCGAGGTCCCAGTAGCCCATCAGCAAGTAGATCGTGAAGAACGGCATCGATACAGTCCCTGAAACAATGACAGATGAGTAAAGTATGTATATTTAAACGAATCATAATTGCACTAAGTCGATGCACCCTTGCAGTGGCGTGGCGTGAATTGCGATGTACCGATTGTTCTGCCATTTAAACCTATGGTAAAGAATCTATTATTAAGGTGTTCGTAGCGAACACCCTGCTCATCGATCATTTTCCATAGGTCTAGATGGTATAACAACCGATATATCGCAAAGCACGCCACGCCACTGCACCCTTGTTGACATGGTATCAACAACTGGTACCAACTTGGTACCGTATTGGTCATATTGCTCAACAGTGAACAACGTGGTAAGAACATGTAACAATGTTGAGACAAAGTTGATACCATGCTGGTTCCATATTGATACAGTGCCAACCGTCTAGAATTCTCGAACCTGCTCATTTCCTGATTTTTCCATGTCTTTCAGGAGTTCATTCCCTGATGACAAGAAACGAAAATTTTCTCCCACTTTTCCAGGATTTTCTTGTGAAAAACTATCGATTTTTTGTACTTTCTTTCATCCGAGTTTTCGGCGCTTATTCAAATTTTTAATCCCAAAAGTGTTTCTAATGTTTATATCATTCGTTCAATGAAATTTTTCCTACCATTATGATGATTTGTAGGTTAAAATGTCATTCTAGGTCAGTAATGGTGACTCAGGTGCGAAATAACATAAACCTTAATAACAGCGAGTACTTAAAATTTCCACAAACTTTGAAAAATAAATGGTCTCTGAGTGATAGAAGAAGAGATTCCCTGAAGGCCCCCGGTTTTTCCCAGTTGTCCCCGTCCTATACTGCCGTGCTAAGGAAGAACGCCGTATGCACCTTCAGGCGTTGCCAAATTTCCCTCGATATAATACGAATTTCTCGGTCACCTTATGAATAATTTTCTTCCAATGTTACATAATTAAGATAATAGGATAATTTTGCTCGCAATTCCACCGAAAAGTCCTGAAAATTTCAAGGGAAAATATTCATAAATTTCCTCGGAAATGAACATTTTATCAAAGGAAATTTGGGAATTCTCGAATGTTCATATGGCGCTCTTCCTTAACACGGCAGTAGACACCATGTACTATGTTTGGCGAAAACATAATACCATATTTCACTCACCAAAATGGTGCCAACGTATTCTTTTTAGCAAGGGCAAGTCTGCGCAACAGATAAGCTCTTTTTGAAAAGGCTTGTAGATATGCCTGGTTTGCTTAACGCTATTTGCGGGATAGAAACAGGAACGCAGACTAATGTGGCACTACTGAGCGGAAAACGAGGAGAGGCGGGAGCTGAAACTGGAGATAAGTGCTAAATACGAAGGAAACTGGGAGCGATATACAACTGCACTCAACAGCCGGGGCCGTAAGCGCACATAGTCATCCGTGGGCTCCATGGAAATCGCGGAGACAAAACCTCACTCCATCAACTATCGGCTTCAGATGACACCGAAAGTGCTCGCCCTCCGCCCCTCGCGCCGCGGCGCTCACCTCAGCCCTGATTTTTTAATGAACTTCACACTTGATTAACGTCCTTTTACTGTCAACGCGTCGATACGTATTGCGGTTCCCGCTCTCATGTTTGCGCTTTTCTCCGCTTTCCTTTCCCCTCTCATTCCTCAGTTAATGCGCTTTTAATTGAGCTATTCTCAGTCGCGCCGCCATTCACACATACGCCACAGCCGGCTGGTGATCATTAAAAGGTGGTGCCAGCATCTTCTTGTCTTAAGAAAGAAGTAGTAGTAGTTGTAGTAGTAGTACACGGAGAAAAAAACTTCGTGCGTGGGACCCGAAGTTAAGGTCATATGGATCTCTGAAGTTTTCGGATTGAGCATCTGAGCACTTTAGGTCCAGCTGCTGAGGTTTGGATCACACATCTGAAACTTCAGTTCTTACATCTGAAGTACTTCGGTTTTCACATCCAAACAACTTCGGTTCTCACATCTGAAGTACTTCAGATGTAAGAGCTGAAGTTTCAGATGTGTGATCCGAACCTCGACAGCTAGATCTAAAGTGTTCAGATGCTCAATCTGAAAACTTTAGAGATCCATATGACCTAAACTTCGGGTCCCACGCACGAGGTTTTTTTCTTCGTGTACTACTACTATTCTTCTACTACTACAACTACTACTACTTCTAGTTTCTAGTCTTAGTTCGCACGAGGTTTGTTTCTCCGTGTAGCGACTACGGCTATGAAAACTTCGGTAGTTAGTTTGTTTCCGCAAGAATAACATTATCATGTGAGCCGAAAGGGTTTTGAGGCTTACACCAAAATTTACCCGATGTAACTTTATGTAACACGACTACGTTCACCTATACTACCATGCTGAGGAAAAACACTGCATGAACATTCAAAAGATGCCAAACTTCCACTGGTGGAATGATTATTTTTGAGGAGAGTCATCAATGTTTTCTTTTGAAATTTTCACAAAATTTAGATGTGATCGGAAATGAAAGTCTTTGAAAAAGTGGAAAAAAATGTTTGCGGATTTTCCTGAAAATTCATGTTTTATCAAAGCAAATTTGGCAACGTCTGAAGGTTAAACTTGGTTTTTCATCATTTGCATCTGCTACAATTTACCAACAAGGGGTTTTATTTAAAAATAATTTAATCAAACTGCATTAAAAAGCAAAACGAAAAAATGATAAAAGCAATAAGTACCTATATCTGGAACGATATACGTACATCTAGCCGACGAGCAATGGGTATGAAATCGTAAAGAAAAAAAAATCAATGAAATTGCAAATGCTTCTCGCCAAAATTTAACGCTATATTGCTGTGCTGTTGTACTCAGCGCACTCGTACGACCTGCCTAAAAGCAATCATTCCGTTTGAATTGATTCATTTTTAATCGACTTCTCTATAATAGAACAAAAGCTCTTTCTGATGAATCCGTGGACCAAGCACTACCTCGAAGTAGAAAAACTGATCCACCAACTCTCTATTCGAGTCACTAGAGCAAGCCCCATTCATTTTTCGACCGCATTCTACACTCACGGAGTGAAAATAGTTCAAGTCCCCTTTCAAATCCCAGGGATTTTCAAAACAGCATTCAACTCAGAACCATCGGATTCACATATATGATATACATTACCTATGAAAATATCGGTGGCCGCCAACGAAGCTATGAAGTAATTGCTGGGTTGCCGAATTGACCTATCTACCATGAAGGCTAACAGCACGAGAATATTACCGCCAACGGTTAAGACAATGCAGATACCAATTACCAGCGCGATGAGAATACTTTGCCACAGCGCGAATGGAGGAAGCACCGGGGTTAGAGTGATCTCCTCCAATGAGCTGTTCCCCAAACCTGCACAATACAATCAGAATAAAATTCGTTTATACTTTTCTTAATACAAATAAAGTGCCTAAGGTAACACGGTTTGCAATAAATTACACTTACATGGTTAAATGGATCGCTGAACTTTGTATTAAGCGCTCAGCTGATATGTACGGAGCGTTTTTTAATTTCAACCTGCCTCTAGAATGGAGCTTTTGCGTGTGTCAGGAATTTGTGTTTACAGTTTTGATCCCTGTGTACAATTTTGCGCGAAACACTATGATACCACTGTTTTTTTCTGAAATCAACCCCGAAGCTCAAAAAAAGCTCTCGAAGTTGAGGCCGTAATGAAGGGGATATCCCACGCTCTCCTGAGATTCCACCTCTAAATCATGACAAACTCTCTATCTAAAGATAAGGAATAAATACTTTAGCAGGGTTGCCGTGTTTTCAGTTTGGGAGTCCCCAAAGAAAGTGGCAACCCTGTTATTGTATTTACTCCCTATCATCGCACAGAGAGCTTGTCTTAGGAGAGAAGTCATAACTGCACCTTAATCGGCCCGCATTGAATCCGTAAAATGGCCAAGAAAAACTTTTGAATGCTTTCTTCTAAAGCTACGTTCCCGAATTTTAAATCCCTCCAAGAGTCCCCTCCGAGTTTTAAAACTTTCAGTTGTTTGACTTTTTTTCGAGTATTTTCTTCGCCAAAATAATCCACAGTTATTTTCTTTAGGTGCTACTGCACCAATGACAATATTTTAGTCTTGCCTCTTCTCTCTCTCCTCCCTGTCCTTGCCGCTGAATATTTCTGTAATGCATTGTCACAATTCAATGGCGAAAGTGCGAAACCACGTATATCCGCCGTGATGTTTCAAAATCTCCGCCCCCACGTTATGATTTCGTAGAGAAACAGACCAACATTATAGCTTGAAATTTTTACAGAATATTCCTCTAACAGATATGAAAAATCCAGGAAGTTTTCAAGTAATTACGATTTCTAGTTTTCCGAAGAAAAAAATTGAAATATGATAGGAGGCCTGAAAAAACGTAAACGAAGATGCGTGGTTTCGGACTTTGGCCATCGAATTGCAAAGTTTTGCCCATCCATTTCATCCTCTTGCTTAAGGTAGAAAAAGCTCGGGACTGGCCGTTAGTTAGATTTTCGGCCAGTTTGAATCAGTTTCAGAGTTTTAACATAATGTATCGAAGACAAGGTCTGAGCTACAGGTAAACTTCGCAAGTTCTCTCTTCAAAATATTGCATAAAAATGGATTTACACATCGGAAAGCTCGGAAATCAAAGCCTTAACAAGATATTGACAAGTCTAGTTAACACAGATCAAATGGAAATTGGATTATACAATAAAGACGCCATTTGTATTTTTACCATTAAACCAATGTTAATTGAAAACACGTATATCTTGTTTAGGAGTTGCCTTTCAGACCTCCCGTTGTTAGATTCGTTTTCCTCTTGAAATTTTGAAGAGAAGCCATATTCCGTTGTGCTTTAAATCATACCTGGTCTTGAGGCCCATTTAGATTGCACTTTGCAAAAAGGAACCAAGAGCATTTCAGTGTCGCTAAGATTGTGCATATCGACGGTGAAACTACCAAACCACGTATCTCGTTTGCGGTGTTTAAAAATCTACGCTCACATTTTATTTTTTTGAAGTAGACCAAATCAATATCATTCCTTGAAATTTTCACAGAATTTTCTCCGCACGAAGAGGAAAAATCACAAAAATTTTCAAGACTGGACGTTAAGTAGTTTTTCATTTAAAAAATAAAGTATGACAGGAAGTTTGCGACGTCGCAAACCGAGATACGTGGTTTGGTAGTTTCACCGTCGATATGTTCTTACCTTGCAAATATGAACTGATTGTCTAAACAAGTTGTATCTTTACTCCCAAAAAATTGTGAATTCAAGACAAAAATTACCTTTGTAAATTTAATTGTTTACACGATTTCAGTAATATAATTGCAAAGAATGTAAATCGCACAATCTTAGGAACATTGGAATGTTCTTGGTTCCTTTTTGCAGAATTCAATCCATTTAATATTATGTTAACGAACCTGCAGGACACCATACACGCGGCGGCGCAATTTGCCAGCAAAATCAGGAATCGAGGAGAAATACGACGAATCTCTCAAGGTTAGGGAGGGCTTATTAACTGGATAACTGTGAGAAATTCCTTCTCGCTTTCAACAAAGTATGGTCTATGCGAAGGTCGAACAATTAGTAACCGAGTGAACCAGGCGATTTGCGGGGATTAGCGCGTATCAAATGTTGCTGATTTGACTGGCGGACTCGGTGCGCTCGCACGGGTTCTTGCGGAGACATTCGGGAAACTCGCTCCGCGCGACAACGCTACGCACATCTGCAATTAAAGCCTCCCGCTCAAAAAGCGGAAACGAGAGATTTTAGGAAGCCATAATATACGTTTGCGGTTTATCCTCCAGCCGGCCGCGAACCTAATGAATTACGAACGGCCGCAACTCTGGAGCTTTCAATTTGGGCTTTCGTCCCTCCGCACGCGATTCTTAATCGTGCTTCAACTGTTTCATTCTTCCGAGGGCTCCAGGACATTTCGTCAACGATTTTTTGTCCGCACACCTGGTTTGTCCAGTAGTTTACGTCCCCAAGCGTAAAATAAGCAACAGTTACTTGGTCCAAACATTATATTTAAGTCCGTATGTAAAATCATATTGACACTACCGAAATGAGAAAATTGAGAGAGAAGGAGGTGTTGTTATGGTGATTGGTGACTCATTTTTTAAATGAAATATTACTTTCTCCTTTTGATTCATCTTTTCAAATTGTCATTGGTGAATGTTTGGTTACATTTCTATCCTTAAAATTTTCGATGTACAATATACCTTATATACACTTCTTTTTTTTCAAAAAGAAAATATTACTTCATTTTAAACACATTTACATTTTTAAAACGTGGCAATTCCGTTCTAAGAGATGGCATCGATATTAATGTCATTTAGCCGTAGTGGTGTTGAAAGAAACCGTACAAAAATTAATAAAAGATGGGAAAAAAAACCAAGAAGCACGCAATCGTTGGTATTTTTACATCGACCTTTTAGAGTCAAATGAAACATTGTATTTTCCTTTACATATTTTTTTCCATCTATTTAAATGAGAATAATCCACGCAGAGTGTGCACAAATTTCAAAATCACTAGTTGAAAAATGCTGACTCCGCGAGTTTAAATATTAGAGCCGTACACAGAACGAAGCGGCCTACAAACCTAAGTGGATACTTCACGCATTGCGCAATGCTTGAAGTATCCACTTAGGTTTGTAGGCGCCAAAGTACGTTGCACGTTGACCAGCCTCCCGTCAAGCCGCGCCGCAGCGTGCCACGGCGCCTTAAGCAACTATTTCACAACAGAGGTGTTGCACAGTATCATACGAAATTGAAGGCGCTCCAACAAATTAAGGATGACAGACATCCTTTCAGAGTACGGAGCTTCCCTCGCAAAATAAAGCAAGATATTCCGGCACAAAAAGAGAGCGGTAATCCAAAAACTCGGTAAGTGATAGCATCCGTATTTAATGACGTTTAGCATAAGTTTTTAATGCCATTAGAGGAGAAAGTGACTCAATATAGGCAGAAACATTTTTAAGTATGCAGTCAAGAAGATTTGATGTTAAACCAAGAAGGAAGTAGTTGAATGAAAGCGGATTTCTGTTTGATGTAAGTGACTTTTCTTTTTATGTAAGCATCTTTTCTTCTTTAAACAAGCATTATTTTCTTTATTGATTCATGAGAAAATTCTCTCGGAGGTAAATCCGAGCTTATTTCTGCTTGAATCGAGTCACTCTTTCCTCTTATGAAGTTCAAAAATCATGCTAAACTTTCTTGAATACGGATGGTAAGTGAACCAAAACTCCCCTGCCGAAAAAAAACGCATGGACGATGGACGTGAACTACCAGAAAAAACGGGTGCGTGGACAAAAAATCGTTGTCGAAATGTCCTATAACCCCCGGGTGACATCATGAGATTCTTACTCCTCAGTTGTGACAATTCTAGGGAATTGGCACCTTAGTGTTCACAAAAACTCAGAATTTGGTTGGCCAGCTTAACATTTCGATGGCTAAAGTGCGAAAACACATATCGACGGTGTAGGTCGGCAGTCACACAACTCGGTTTGCGACGTCTCAGACTTCCTATCATACTTTATTTCATAAACGGAAAAATACTCAACGGCAATTCTTTAAAACTGCCGTGATTTGTTTTCTCTGTGCAAAGAAAATTATGCAAAAACGTCAAGGAATGATATCAATTTGTTCTCCTTTAATAAATAACATAGAGGCGGAGATTTTCAGACACCGCAAACGAGATATGTGATTGCGGACTTACGCCGTCGATATCTCCGTTTGCGATACGATATAGCAGACTTCCTTTCATACTTTATTTTTTCTTCGGAAAACTATCCAAGGTGATTTTTTGAAAACTTCTGTGGTATTTCTTCCCTATCATCAGAATACTCCGTGCAAATTTTAAGCCATTAAGCTAGCTCGTGTCTTTTCGAAGAAATAAACTAGGAGCGGGAATTTTGAAACGCCGCGATGGAGTTATACACGGTCTCGCACTTTTGCCATTGATACCAACAAAGAGACGGTAATCGACAAGGACGGTCTTTGGGCCCACCACGAATTTCCTCAACTCTGCGATTTTTTTCTCAATGGAGGTCTATATTTTACGAATTGCATTGATTTTGTCATTTTCGGTCTCTTTTCGGGTCTAATACTGGCCTATACATAGGTCAAAAGGCCGGTATCGGCGAAAAATGCCATTTCAGGGTTTGCGGTCAGTTGCCAATAAATCCACTTCTTTGTGCCAAAATCGGCCCTCTGACCTGAGTCTAGGCCAGTATTTTTCCCAAAAAGAGACCAAAAGTGACAAAATCATGATGCATTCCGTAGAAGATAGAAAACATTTTATGGTAATGAGCAAAAAATCATAGAATTGAGGAATAATATTTCGCTAGGGTGGGCCCAAAAACTGCCCTTATCGATACTCCTCCTTTTTCATAGTTTTCAAGATACTTATAAGTTCATTTTTGAGAAAATGAAGTATTATAATCCGGTTCGTCGCTTATAAAGTGGAGAAACAAGAATTTATGGGTAAGATCAGGAGTGACTCACTTGAATTCAAAAGTGTCGTGTTGTTGGCTGCAAGCATCGTTGACGATAGCTGATAAAAGTTGGCCAGGCCTTGATCATAATCGGATAGAACCGAGTCATCGTTACCCCAGGAGGAGTACCTACAATTCAGAAACAAAACTCAATACAACAACGTAGACAAGTAACGAAAGGTTTTTCCTAAAAATGACGAGACACCGGGGCATTTTAAGGAAAATCACCCAATCGGTATAGATTATAATTTATGAGGGTATGCAAGGGCTCGTTACAAGTACTCCAAGGGCGGTTCCATATACATTATGTGCGGCCGGGAATCCTGGACTCTAGGTCACAACATACACATACAAGCTTAAATCATTCCGTGACTAGGTTGGCTAACTCATTTCCACCTTATGGCATAATTTGCCGGTCTCTACACAGATATCTATTTTTTAGGGATCGATACACCATATCGATGGTGAAACTACCAAACCACGTATCTCGGTTTGCGACGTCGCAGACTTCCTGTCATACTTTATTTTTTAAATAGAAAACTACTCAACGTCAATTCGTGAAAACTTCCGTGATTTTTCCTCTTTGTGCGGAGAAAAATCTGTGAAAATTGTAAGGAATGATATTGATTTGATCTCCTTCAAAAAAATAAAATGTGAGTGGAGATTTTTAAACACCGCAAACGAGATACGTGGTCTGGTAGTTTCACCGTCGATATATTATACCTTGTTAAAACTTTTGGAGTGAAATTTTGCCGCGAAAAAAAACCCCAAATGTTATGAATGCGGAAATCTATTCGCCTTACGGACTGACTTGCACTATTACGGAGCGGAATCTGCCTTTGTTGCGGAGTGTCATGGCGCTATGTAGATTCCAGCGTTCTGATTATCGAAATTGATAGACAAAGCGATAGTCTTATAGGACAGAATGAAGACGGAGCGATCATATTGGTAGTAGCGGGTTGTTGCAATGAACAAAGGAGGTAAGAAATAGACAAACCAACGGCAACCGACACTGTCACACGCTGAATATAGGAGCTGAATGTGGAAGTCAACAGTCATCGCTCAACGGCTGAAACTTCGCGAATGCGAGTTATTTTCATCCAGATGTGTGTCAAATCTATTCGAATAGCTCAGATAAAATCCAACATTAGTCCGATGGTTGCTGAATTTTGCGCGTCACGCACAAAATTCAGGCATCGAGCCAATGACTTCCACATTCAAGCCACATTCAGCTCCCACATTCAGCGCGTGATTGCGGCATCACTCTATCATCGCTCCTCTTGGTCTTTAAGAACCGCCCGTTTTAACCAATGGGATCCCTGCATACTCCCTATGTCATCTTTGTCTATAGCTTTGTCTATCAATTTCAATAATGAGCCCGGTGCACTGAAATCACTTCTCGATTTTTAACAGTGTATTATAGAGATAGTGCAGAGGCGGAGCCACCTGGAATCACTGGTGGTAATTTTGCTCGGCGGCAAGCCTCGTAAGTCTCGATAAGAGGCGATCAAAGGGGTTGGTGGAAGGCTCTCCTCGTCATAGTGATGGTGTGATACGACGTTATTAGGGTAGTTTTAGTGGTTTCCCTGCTCGGAGGCCTCCATTCTTTGAACGGGAGAGCGTGTACACACACATACGCGCGTCCAATATTACCCGCCTCCACGATCCTACCCGTCATCCGTCGACCGTCAAGTCCGTTTCTGCATGAGCCACGGTTAGCGCATCCTCCGCTGTGTCTCGAGGCTCACCCCAAAACGCACTGAATGCTCTTTTCCGTAGCACGGCGGCGTGACGACATGAAACGATCGAGCTTTATCGGAGCCAATAACATGCTCCTCGCGAAACAAANGGGGGGGGGGGGGGGGGATAAAGGCGAGGTGAACACGATGCAGGGGCTACGGCAAACACGAATCTCGGCGAATTTGTGACGGGCTCTAATTAACGCGGTGGGCTATCATGTGTATGTCGCTGGGATTGCTGTCTCCAGGCCACCTCTTTAGCAATGGTGAAAAAAGTAGCTTGGATCAAGAGTCCAGGCTCTTAAAAACATTGACATGAAAAAATACTCTTGATTCAATCGGATTTTTCCTTGAATCGAAGAGGCAAGCATCTTGATTTAAGCGGATTTCCATTTGAATCAAGAGTATTTTTTCTTGTCAATGTTTTCAAGAGTCTGGACTCTAGATCCAAGCTACTTTTTTTTACCAGTGAAGGCTGGATTTATATTATTAGCGACGTAAGGGCCCGTCCATGTATTACGTAAGGCATTTTTGCCAACTTTTTGATCCCCTCCCCCCTGTAAGGCAACCGAAAGGAATCTACGACCCCCCCTTTTGAATTGCTTAAGATTGGCCCCCGCCCCACCCCTTTTTCAGAAAAATACGGAGAAAACCTGTTAAAATAGCTGGAATTTTGGGCTTTTGTAAGGGTATTTTGATGAAAATTGGCATTAAAAAGGAGTAAATAATTGAAATTTAAATGTCAGGGTATTTACTAGTTATGAAAAACTAAATTGGGGACTTTTCCCCGGAATAATAAGAGAATAAATTTTTAAACAGATTTCTAAACACATAGCCTTTTTTATTGCTGAAAGCTTACTTAAGACTCGGCTTGACCCCCCTCCCCCTTCGTGAGGCTCCGTAAGACAAGCTTGGACCCCCTCCTCCCTTAAGTGCCTCACGTAATACTTGAACGCAACGGCATACGTAACGCTCCATGGGGAGAGCAAGGGTCTTTTCTAGCGTCCAACCATGCAACCATTAATGTGGCGTTAAAATTCGTCCTCGGGTGTCCTGAATCCCAAAACGAGTCCTTTCATCACTTTTTACACAGATATTCTGCCGTCACTCCTATGGAAGAATGCCGTATGAACATTCGAGAGTCGCCGAATGTCACCGGACATAACATGTATTTCTTAAGAAAGTTTTGTTTCTTTTTCCTTGTTTGCAGATATTTTAGCTTAAATATTGAACAAAATTGTCTGAAAATTTTGAAGAAGAATATTCAAAATTTTCTCAATAAATTCGTTTGTGATTGGAAGAGATATGGCAACGTCTGGAGGCTCATACGGCGTCCCTCCTCAGCACGGCAGTACAGGTCTCCAAAATTTGCGTCGCTTTTGGCGCGGGCGGGAAAGAAGTAGGTGAGAGCTTATCGATTGACCTACCCCTGGTAATTGTCCCAAACGGATGCGATGTCAGACAGGTTGTAGGCGGGCTGGCACTGCTCCGTGTACAGCCTTTGGAATGTAAATCGACACAGCCTGTCTTTCTCCCTCCGCAGTTTCCTGAAAGAATAAGAACGCCGTATTACAGGAAGCTCCGAGGAGTTACCGGTTTTCACATGCATTTTTCACGAATAAGTGACATTGAAGGTGAACTCGAGTAAGATAAATGCCATGTCTACCAAGTGCATTCACGCTTCGTTGCCAGTTAGAATAATTGAGACGACTCGTTAAACTCCGATACCTTCTCCTTGGTCACGGCGGAGCACATGTAGGGTCCATGTCGGTAAGTTTGAGGTTAGGTGGATCGCATTTTGTAAAAAGGAACCAGCGCGATTACAGTGTTTTCAAGATCGTGCAAATAGAGAATTTGCATGGAAATATTTTATTGCTTCATTTGAAAGTGTTTAAAGAGCGGAGATCACAGTATCTTTATAATTTTTTTCTGATATGGGGAATAGTATAAAAATACATTTAAAAGTGAGAAAATGCACCACGTACTGACGTCATCTGCCCGCATTTCCCATTTAAACACACGTATTTATTAGCTAATTTTGTCATCTCTTCTCCAATAATTGTTCAATTCATGAACCAAGGGTATCCTCGTTTCAGTTCACTCAGTAGTTTCCACTTAAACACGAAATTCATCAAATTTCAAACACCTGCAAATTCTCTATTCTCCTTTTCTTTTAAAAATACTCAATCTATGTACAGTATTAATGTGTACACAATTATATTCCTTTGAAATAACAATATTGTGGTGGGAAGTCAAGGCTGTTTGCTATTCTGCGATATTTTTTAGATGATCATGAAGAAGCAACATTTTTACAACACTGTAATTGGGCTGGATCATTTTTGCTAATTGCGATCCAGGTAGTGGAGCTCTTAGGACCAAAAAGGACATCCAATCTAGGTTTCAGGACATTTTGTCAACGAGTTTTTGTCCGCGCACCTTTTTTGTACAGTTGTTTATGCCCGCACGTAAAATAAGCAACAGTGACTTGGTCCAAGCGTCATATTTTTGTCCGTATGTATAATTATATTAACAATATGGAAATGAGAAATTGAGAGAGAAGGGGGTGTTGTTGTGGTTGCTCATTTTCTAAATGAAATTGTATTACTTTCTCCCTTTGAATCATCTTTTTAAATTGTCATTGGTGAATATTTGGTTTTATTTCTATGCCTAAAATATTCGATGTATAATATACCTTATATGTATAAGTACTTTTTTTATTTTTTCAAAATTTTTTCTTTACGAAAGTATTACTTCATTTTGAAAACATTTATATTTTTAAAACGTGATGAATAATTGTAAAACCTCTTCCAAGCGACATTAATCTCAATGAGCCGCAATTAAGCCGATAGAAAAAGCAAAAATGAATAAAAGAGGGGGAATAACGAAGAAGCACGCAATCTTTGGTTTTAACCCATTAGTCCGGGTTCTTATGTTCAAAAAAAGCTTCCCGTGGAACGGTAAGTGAAGCAAGTGTGGAAAATATCTTACTCTCTTCATTTCGATGCGTAAAAAAAGAATTTCGATGTTGTCAAGCTCAATTTTGCGTCTAACCCCCCAAAATCAAGATGGCGGCCAAAATGGGGGCTCGGGGGGTGAAAATTATGGAATTTGATTTTGATGTCATGATTGGGGTCAATTCTTATGTAATTTTGGTCGTAGAATCCGAATTTGAGGTCCAAAATACTATCCGACCCAAAGGGATTCCCCAAATCCAAGATGGCCGCCAAAATCTCCAAGATAGGGTCAAAACTGCGATACGTATGTAAAAGTGCCAAGTAGGGTGTCCTTGGTAGGGTTCTTTGGGTCGGAGATTTCACTTATGATGTCAAAAACTTACCACGGATCCATTGAAGCCCCAAAAAATCAAAATGGCGGCCAAAAGGGCTGCCGTTGCGGGGTGAAATATTTTGTTGAGGCAAACATCGTCGAATGAGGTGTCACTGTATAGGTTTTTTGGGTCGTAGATTCCAAAAATGAGGTCCAAATAACAAAATAAGCTGATAGAAGTTCTCCAAAAGCCAAAATGGCGGCCATAATGGCTGCCGCCCAAGCATTGAACGCGTTTGAACAGTAGGGTGTCCCATTTTGGACGTTACAAAAAAAAAAATTGCGAAATCCAACAGAGATACCTGCCAAAAAGTTGTCTCATAGTTAGAAAAAAAGCACCAAAAAATCTCAGGGTCGTAGCTAAAGTTTGAGTGGTCCCGCAAGGTACTTAAGATGTTTCACCGATTTCTCATCTTGGCAATCTTGGCGATCTTGCAGATTTTTTTTCGGTAAATGCAATCGAGGTAAAAAGTCGCAAATGCGGATAATGAGACTTCTGATACTGTATTTTAAGAGAAAAATAACGGTTTGGACCCACGAGGATCAGAATCCCTCGTTCCTAGCTCTCAAAATGCAAAAATCAGCGATTTTAGCATTTTGTAGTCAAACCGCTGCTCGACCGTCGCTCGACTTAAATGTCGCGGCATTTGACGCGCTGTTTCACAATGATCCCATTGTAGGAGTAAAAAGTCCTTCAAGTATGTTCATTAGAGGTGTAAGAGGGTCACTTTGGCCAATTTTTGTTGCTTTTAAACATTGAGCTCATTGTTTAAAATGTTTTTAATTTTTTTTTTGTTTTGTTTTTTGTTTTGTTAATATAATTTTCCTGTTTTTCATCATTATTTAAAATGGTTTAAAAAGGGCGACTCATCTTACCCCAAAATTGAACTCCTTTGGCGAACAATATACGTAGATGGTCAAATACTTCCTCTAAAACAGTTTGTGGATTCAAAGCCTCCCAAAAAAGCCGATGTTGCCATATTTTATCCCCGGAAAACACAAAAAACCGAGTACCTATTTCAGTATTTGGAGGCTGTTCCTCACCGAGCTCATTGAGCAAATTTCAGCAAACCTTGAATTTTCATACGTTATGACCAGATTACTAGTGATTATGTACATGTGTTTATCTATACAGCCTCCCACCGCGGCGCGACGTTGCCACATACCATCGATAAAATTCGATAGAAATCCGCGTTTCCTTAGATTTGAGCAATTTTTTCGGATATTGCACATGGAATACATATAGGTCATTCCACGTCAACGCAACCAAGCTCGAAACCCGACCCCCTCCGATTTGGCTGAAAATTGGTGTACGGGGTCTTTATATCATATTAAGGGACCAATTTTGAAGGGGTTTCCCATCTGACGCCCCGTTTGCGAGATATCGACCCCCAAAGATGGGGTGAATTTTAGCGGTATTCAAAACAGCCCGTTTTAGCGATTCTCATTTTCTCGACTCTCTCGAAAGTGACCCTCTTACACCTCTAATGAACATACTTGAAGGACTTTTTACTCCTACAATGGGATCATTGTGAAACAGCGCGTCAAATGCCGCGACATTTAAGTCGAGCGACGGTCGAGCAGCGGTTTGACTACAAAATGCTAAAATCGCTGATTTTTGCATTTTGAGAGCTAGGAACGAGGGATTCTGATCCTCGTGGGTCCAAACCGTTATTTTTCTCTTAAAATACAGTATCAGAAGTCTCATTATCCGCATTTGCGACTTTTTACCTCGATTGCATTTACCGAAAAAAAATCTGCAAGATCGCCAAGATTGCCAAGATGAGAAATCGGTGAAACATCTTAAGTACCTTGCGGGACCACTCAAACTTTAGCTACGACCCTGAGATTTTTTGGTGCTTTTTTTCTAACTATGAGACAACTTTTTGGCAGGTATCTCTGTTGGATTTCGCAATTTTTTTTTTGTAACGTCCAAAATGGGACACCCTACTGTTCAAACGCGTTCAATGCTTGGGCGGCAGCCATTATGGCCGCCATTTTGGCTTTTGGAGAACTTCTATCAGCTTATTTTGTTATTTGGACCTCATTTTTGGAATCTACGACCCAAAAAACCTATACAGTGACACCTCATTCGACGATGTTTGCCTCAACAAAATATTTCACCCCGCAACGGCAGCCCTTTTGGCCGCCATTTTGATTTTTTGGGGCTTCAATGGATCCGTGGTAAGTTTTTGACATCATAAATGAAATCTCCGACCCAAAGAACCCTACCAAGGACACCCTACTTGGCACTTTTACATACGTATCGCAGTTTTGACCCTATCTTGGAGATTTTGGCGGCCATCTTGGATTTGGGGAATCCCTTTGGGTCGGATAGTATTTTGGACCTCAAATTCGGATTCTACGACCAAAATTACATAAGAATTGACCCCAATCATGACATCAAAATCAAATTCCATAATTTTCACCCCCCGAGCCCCCATTTTGGCCGCCATCTTGATTTTGGGGGGTTAGACGCAAAATTGAGCTTGACAACATCGAAATTCTTTTTTTACGCATCGAAATGAAGAGAGTAAGATATTTTCCACACTTGCTTCACTTACCGTTCCACGGGAGTACATAAGAACCTGGACTACATCTGTACATCGATCGTGTAGAGTCAAACGCGTTAAATTTTGGGCGTTTGGTTGCGCGTACACCTCGCTGCACCACAATAAAAGCACAAAACGTAAAAGAAAAAATTAAAGTGCTTTGGAAATCATTAAATTTGACACGGAACCACCAACACATTATATTATTTTTCTTCTTTGATAAATTGATACATATTTTTTCCCATCAATTTAAATGAGAATAATCAATGCAGAGTGTGCAAACATTTCAAAATCATGAGTTAAAAAACGCTGACTATGCGAGCATGAATATTAAAGCCTAACAGAGCGAAGCGGCGTGCTGCCAGCGCGAGAGACTCACTGGCGCCTACAAACCTAAGTGGATACTTCACGTATTGCACAATGCTTGAAGTATCCACTTAGGTTTTTAGGCGCCAATGCTCGTTTCGCGCTGGCGGCGCTTGAAGCAACTATTTCACAACAGAGATGTTGCACAGTATTATACGAAATTGAACGCATTAAGAACGACAGGCATCCTTTAAAAGTACAGATCCTTACTCGCAAAATAAATCATGATACTTATCGTACACAGGAAAAATCTAAGAGCCTTTAGCTGAGGCAAATATAGAGGTTTATCCGGTTCAGGTATA